CTATTCAAAGTCATAGGTACAGGACACCAAACACAGTAACTTCTCACCACATCTTTTCTGATGTGGGGAGGCTGGAGGGTTAGGGTTGGGAGGATTGCTTGAAAATAGAAAGCAATCACACACAAAAAAAACTAATTATTTACAGGGTTGTAGATTTGGGGTACACCAGAGGTTACCTGGGGCCTCTAACTCTCACGGCTCTAGAAAATTTTTTTCTAAATCCTCACCCAAGGATATTTTTCCATTTGTCTTCAGATAGAGTGGGGGAGAGAGAGAGACATCGACGTGAGAGAGACCCTGACTGGGTGCCTTCCGAATGACCCTGACCAGAGTCAGGGCTGAACCGCAACCGAGGTACTTGCCCTTGACCAGAATCGAACCCACGACTCTTTGGTCCACTGGCCGATGCTCCAGCCACTAAGCCAAACTGGCCAGGTTCTAGAAATGTTTTCTAAGTCCTCCCAACTCAAGATTATTTGCAAAATCACTGCCTCGTATTTGTACACTCATTCAAGAAACAGTAAATAAGGTGAAATGTGGAAAACCTGAGCCTGTCCATCCACAAGCAGAGCCTCCTGGCACCCCCAGACGCCTCCTGGGCCAGCCGCGTCCTCCCCGCGGACTCATTTATCCACTTCCACTGTCGGCATCAGCCCGTCTGGGCTTTCATCTGGCTGCGCAGTTCACACTCATCTCTCTTTCTTGAACATCAAGTTTATTAACAGCCTATATTAATGTACTGGCCAGTTAATGTATTAATTAAATCCATTATGTTTCACTGTTTTATTATTTCTATATTTTTCCCTACTCTGATAAAAATATGTAAAGAATCTATTACTGTTTTACAAGCTTGCATTTGTGTAGTATTTTTAAAAAATATATTTTATTGATTTCTTTTTTAGAGAGAGAGAAGCATTGATGTGAGAGAAACATCGATGGACTGCCTCCTGCCACCCGGCATGCGCCCTGACCAGGAATCCAACCGGGGCCTCAGTCCACGGGACGCGCTCCATCCACTGAGCCACAGCAGCTGGGCTGTGTAGTATTTTTTGACAAGCTTTTAAAGTTATATTTGGTATTATGAAAAATCCTCTTGTTTCTCTCATACACATGATTTGGAAGGGCGGGGTCTAACTCACCACGAACCTTAGTGACAGCAGCAGGCACCGAGGTGGCTTCCGCTCCAGCAGAGCTGGGGGAGTGAGTCAGAAGGCAGACCCCGGAAACCGGCTCGTTTCTCTGGAAGACGGACGGGCGGGCTGACTCCCCCCGCGAGTGGCAGTGGTCTGGGCGCTCAGCCCGCCATCTGGGCGGACGAAGGTGGGCGGAATGCCACACGGCGGCCACGCAAGGCTCAGCTAACCCAGTCTCCAGCCACACACGGAAACCCACCATTTCCAATATGCCACAAACATCCAGCTAGGGATATGGAGAGGTGGACCAGAGATGAAAGCAACAAAAGGACAAAGTCGTCGTTCGTTGATTGAACGAGACATGAAAGGAAGCTTGAGGAAATGGAGAAATGTGTGTGCCTGGGAAGGCATCCTATTCCCAAAATGTTAATCTGCCCAAAATGGCTTGTAAATTTTATGCAAATCCAATAAAAATTCCAGTGGAGTTTTCCCCTTAGAACTGGAAAAAAACAATTATAGCTCTTATAAAACTATGTACAAAACGGTCAAACAAAACACTGGGAAGAAGAGCGAGCGGGTAGACCTGACTCCCATCCGCCCAAGCGCTCAGGAACTGCTCAGGACGGCAGACGGCGTTGCCGGGGGCGTTGCCGGGGGCGTTGCCAGGGGGAGTGGACAGGACTGAGCACATAATATCCTTGGGTGAGTATTAACCAAAAAGAAAGGTGCTTTTCTGGCCTATATCTTTGATTATGTACCATTCATTCTTTGATTTCAGCATTTAATATCATCTGCTTTTGCCAGTAATTTCTTTCATACATTCACATATTACACTAAGCTCTGGACACCTATTTGTTCATTTGCCTTAAAAAAAAATCAGGAATAACTTTACCGAGAAGCCGGAAGTCTCTAGCCTTTTGGCTGAACCCTGAAGAGTTCCGCTGTTTCAAAGACCAGTCTTGTCGAGCACCACGACACAACTCAGAATGGCATGTCTGTAATCGTTCCATACAGGGAACGCATACCTTAAATTTAAAAATGTCTAATGAGCCAATGCATTGAGTGGATTCAGCATCAGCCCATGCACTGAGAGGTCCCAGTTCGATTCCCGGTCAGGGCACATGCCGGGGTTGCAGCCCAATTCCCAGGAGGGGGCATGCAGGAGGCGGCCAATTGATGTTTCTCTCTCTCATCCATGTTTCTATCTCTCTCTCCCTTCCTCTCTCCGTAAAAGTCAATACAAACATCTTTAAAAAAACAACAACTTTCCAATGAGAATCACTTAGTTTAAATCTCACTAACTTTATGATACTAAACCAGCTAACCAGCTTGTGACTTAGTTTCCACCTCTTTGAAATGAGCACATTTCTGTCTCCTGCCCCTCACAAGGACTGCGGAGGGTCCCCGGAACGACACACAGTGAGCCCACTGAAACCCTTGGTGCTCTGCAGACACGGGGCAGCACAGGCTCCGCTCGCCCTTGTTCCAGCCCGTGAGCCCTGCTCCAGGGAAGGAGAGATGGGCTCTGTCCTGGAGCAGAGACGTCAGGGCGGCTGCCCGGAGTCCAGCAGAGGCTGCGGCAAAGGCCACAAGAACGAGGATGTGGCTGCCAGGTGGGGACCACCAGGTTCCCAAGCATGTCCTTCCTCTGCTAGCTTCATGCCCTGCCTCCCGGCCACCGTCTGGTCAGACCCCTCAGGAGAACCAGGCCTCCTAGGTGACCACGTCCCAGGATGGGGGGAGCAGCCCTTCCAGGCCCAGGCTCCTGCTGCCTCCCGCAGACTCCTGGCCCGACAGAGGGGGGCTTCTGTCCTGGGCCTCGTTTGCACCCCAAAGACCCCTTTCTCCTGTTTCCAGGCCTCTCCACCCCCTCTTCCCTAAACGCACGCCCGTAAAAGGTCATTTCAAGGGCCGTGTGGGATGTCAAATGAGCTTTTTGGAAAATGTTTTTCTGTGGTTCCTCTGAAGTCCAAGAATAATGTCTTGTTTTTCTTTTTAGCAAATGCGTCAAAGGACTAGAATGAAAGCTGCCTTCCATGAGCCTCCGAGGGCGCCGCAACCGTACCAGCTCAGCCCGTGTTCCACCGGCAACCACGGGCAATTTTAGTGATAAACCCTGCGGGATCTGCGCAGTCACTAACAGGGTGGTAAACATAGCAATTCACGCTGTTTTCCCCAGCGAGGAGTTCTGACACCTGTTGTCATTTCTCCTTCCTCTTCATGTAAGACCGCTCAGAAATGAAAAGATGGTGACGCCTCACGAGGGACAGGGAATCAGAGCCCTGGAGGCCAGACGCCGGGAAGGAGACGGTGGAAGGGAGAGGGACCGCGATGAAGCTGCCCACGGACGCCACGGGGACAAACAGTACACACGCCAACGGCCGGCGGCAGAGCAAGGGACAGACGGGCACAGCAGGGCCAGGACTCGCCTGCCTTTTCTTAAAATCATGGACTGTAGGCTGTGCTTGTACGAAAAATAACTTCCATGTTAAAACTATAAGGTATGTATATTTTTAAATGTTTGGATGTTTCCAGCTCCAGCAGCCCGGCGGCATCACACCCTACGTAATTGTGTGATTTGGCTCCTGGTAACCTCCTGCCACCTCTCCTGCCTTCAGACAGCGCAGCACACGGCGGTGTGAGCATGCGCATCAGAGCTCTGCAGCTGCCTGGAGATCGCAGCATCCCAGACGGAGGACGTGGGGCAGGTCAGCTTATCACCTCCCGAGAAAGAAACACAAGTTGACAAACCCAAGGTGTTTTGGGCAGTTCCACAGTCAGACATTCAGAAGGTCTTAGCTACTCTCAGGGCTTCCTACAAACCTCTTGGAATTTGACCTATGGTGTTTGTTCCAGAAACATAAGCAAAGCACAATAATCCAGGTAACTGGGCACTCACCAGAGGGCTGGGGTAAGGGAGGAGGAGGAAGAGGGATGGTCATGAGGACACACTGCGTCTGCCCTGAGTGCTTGCTTGCAGTTCAAGCTGAGTGGTGGGAACCCATGCCGTCCATTCTCTGAGACAGCAGACAGACCGCCAGGGAAGATGGACCATTGACGGCTGGCAGCCCTTCCTACTGAGACAGGACTTTCGTCCGGGAAAAATATACAGAGATGCTTAAAAAGAAATGCTGGATTTCTCATGCAGAAGGGTCCCTGTGCTGGGCAGTAAGGCGAGGCTGTCACCTTGGTGGTGGTTTGAAAACGGTCAGATTGCTGTGTTCCATGCGTCTTTGAGTGTCCACACCAAGAACCTTTCCAACTTTATTTTTCATCATTTCTTCTTTTCTTACTTTCTTTTAAATCGAAGACCTTATCTTTGGGACAGGCCTTATCTAAGTCCTCACCTGTGTTAACAATATCATGAAAGGCACATTCTCTCCCAACTCATCACCTCCGTCTCACATCACACCACTCTTGGGTTTTCTGGGTGTCAGCAGCCTTGACCCTCTTTATGTCCTGAGTGCCTTCTGCCCCTCCTGACCCAGGGCCTTTGCACATGCCTTTCTGAGTGCCTTGTTTTCTCTAGTTGCTCAGAGGCATTTCCTCCCTGAGGGTCAAGAACCCACCTCGTGCTCCTCTGCCACCTGCACTGAACACCATCGACCGCTGTCCATGCGCCTGCTCCCCACCAGCAAGAGCTGCTTCTGACCTCTGTACCCTCGGCACAAGCATAGCCTCTGAAACCTTGTAAGCATTTCATCATTGTATTGTGAATGAATAAAACCTCACTTAATGAAGAAAAATAAACTGTCAGTGATCAAAACAAATGTATACCTTTGATACATTAGAAAATAGATATTATATTCGCAAAATATGTTTTCAAAGGAGAGATCTCCTAGAAAATAAATGGTGACATTTCCTTACTTTTTTTGTTTTGCCCATTGCCTTCAGGATGGAGAGGTTCAGGTCTTCCAGCACTGCCAGGACATTTCCATACTCGCCCAAGTGCTGGGAAAAATATTCTGAAAAGTGAAAATAGTCACACGAATTCACATTTGCCTTTAGGTCATCAAATAACAACAACAACAAAACCACAACGAATTATTTATTCCATAAATGAGTAAACCAAACAAACTGTCAGCTATAAATGAAAACTGGAAGGTTTTCAAATGAGATGGAAGTGTCAATAGACTCATTTGATTAAAATAAAATAAAATAAAAACCAACATGGATGGTCACCATTATACCTGAAGAAATGTTCTTTTCTACAAGAAAAAGGAAAATTTGGATCTGGATCTATGAACAATCCCAACCTAACAGAAATTCCTCTAACTTCACATGCCGAAAATACCTAGAAGTTTGCCCCTAGAAAGTCCGCGGCCCCCACGACTCCTGTGAACGCCTCTCTGGGTGTTCCCCAGGGCTCCCTGCACCGCAGTATCTGCAGAATCACACTGAGTGACAGAATGATCACACGCACGTTGCTTGAGTTCACGGGGATACATTTCAGCATGTTTAATGGGAACTTCCTTGATTAACTTATTTAACACTCCAGGTGGAATTCTTGGTTGACATTGATATTAATAACAAATGGGAAATACCACTAACATTTATTAGTAAATGTGCAGACTTCTGAGAAGAAATAAATCAATTTTAGATGTATTCGTCAAAATACAGTGCATGTACACATAGATTAGAAACAAATGACATGTTTTTGACAAAAAGCAAATACATTTCTGATTATGTGTTCCCTAAAAACAGTGTGGTGCAAATCAACTCATGTGGAGGTTCCTTTCGAAAGGCAAGAGATTAGCTGGAAATTAAGAAAGCAGATACTCCTCCAATGCCTGCTTCAAAGTCACATTCTTGGCTACAGTGTTACCTTTGATAGTGTCGCCAAAGATGTCTGACTTGGCCACGCAGTTATTGGTAATAAATGAAGTTGTTGTGGACAAAATGCTTCATAAACCACAAAGTAGTTACTGTGGCTATAAGATATTCTGTAAATTGGCAACCAGAATAGAATACGTACTAGATTAAAACACACCAAAGCAGAGAAGAAAAGATGAAAAGGTGAAATGTAGCACATTTTAGCTGCAATGTGCACAGTCAAGGAGAGTGCGATGGGAATCTGACGGAAGCAGCAGACATACCCAAAGTGAAAACAAACAACTCGGAGCTTTAAAAGCAAGGTTATAAGAAAATAAAACACGGAAGAAAGCTACCTTTAAAAATAAACATTTTCATAGACAAGGCATTTGCCTTAATCAGTGACTGTCCCTGGAGAGAATGTAAATGGTCTATCCAGGTACTCAGCGAGGGACAGGACCAGAGAGGAGTCAGCCGAAGGAGCAGAGACATTTAACCAAACAAAGGAGGGAACTCCTCCCCTCTTCGTCATGGTGAGGGCTCATCTACCCATGCCCAGACTTAACCCAGTATTCAGTGCCTTCCCCGCGCCAGGTGCTGTGCAAGGAGCTTGGAACCCCGAGATGAAACCACGGAGCCTCTGTCTTTAAGGAGCCCGCCATCAGGTAAGAAAATACACATGTGAACTCTGTTCGAGACAGTTGTTAAAGAGCCCAGGCTCAGATGGAGCCCAAGTGCAGGGCAAAGCAGGGCACCCAGGACTGCCTGCCCTTGGGGCCAGCAGGGCCTGTGCTCATGAGTTCCACAAGAAGGTAGCAGAGAAACAGCTCCTACCTGGTTCTCACCCAGGGCTCACTGTGGAAGTGGGCAGCATGGGTGGACCTTGATGGCTTTATGCTGAGTTAAATAAGTCAGAAAGACAAATACTGTGTGATCTCACTTATTTGTGGAATCAAGAAAACCAAGGAAGACATTCAGATGGCCAACAGATATACGAAAAAAATATTCAACATCATTAGTCACAAGGGTAATGCAAATTGAAACTACAATGAGATACCACCTCACACCTGACAGAATGACAAGCATCAATAAGACAAGAAATAAGTGTTGGGGAGGATGTGCAGAAAAGGGAGCCCTTCCACACCATTGGTGGGAATATAAATTTGTGCAGCCACTGTGGAAAACAGTATGGACCTTCCTCAACAAAGTAAGACTAGAGCTCTCTATGACCCAGTAATTCCCCTTCTGGGTATCAACCTGAAAAATGTGAAAACACATAGATGCACCCCATGTTCACTGCAGCGTTATTCTTGGTGGCCAAGACATGGAAACAATCTAAGGCTCTTGAAAGATGATTGGGTAAAACAGAGGTGGTATGCATACAATGGAATTTGATTCGGCTATAAAAAGAGTGAAATCTTACTATTTGCCACAACATGGATGGACCTAGAGGGTGTTGTTTTAAGTGAAATAAGTCAGACTGAGAAAGACAAATACTTATCATTTCACTCACATATGGAATTTAAAACAAAAATCAATAAATGAATAAACAAACAAAAAACCAAACTCATAGACACAGACAACAGCAGGGTGGTCACCAGAGCAGGTCAGGGGAGGATAAGGAGGTAAAAGGATTCAATTACATGGTGATGGAAAGAGACTAGACTTGGGGTGGTGAGCGCACAATAGACTATATAGATACCGTGTTACAAAGTTGTACACTTGGAATTTACATAATGTTGTTAATCAATGTTACCCCAATACACTTAATTTAAGAAATAAAAAAATAAATTTGTGCCTTGCTCATAACAAGAGTTATCATCAGCAGTAACATTTTATGACCTGTCTGTAGAGCAGGGAAGACTTCTATTAGTGAACTCAGTGACCAAAAGTAACCACATAAGATGGTCTGGTCTGACCACAGATTTCTAGCTGGGCAGGTCCTCCTGGGTGGTCATGTCTCAGGCCTGCAGCTTCCTGAGCAAAGGTCAATCTTTACCTTACGAGAGCCCTGTCCAATGTTCTTTGCATCTAGATAATGTACCTTTGAAACATCAGAGTGGTTTTCTTTCCCTAACTCTTGAAGGAACACACAGGCGCCAGGGCAGGAGACCACAGAACCCCTCACTGTTATCTTGCTCCCTGAATGCCATCTGTGTGCTGTAAATGTTCATCGTTAACCATCCTGTGCCTGCCAATGTAAAAAAAAGTTTCTCCACGTAACTGTCTGTCCATCCCAGAGATGTCCCTGCTTTGCTCTCCCACCTCCCTGACCTGTCACCCACGGATTTCATGCACCTTCCTAAGTCTTCTTCAATTCTAAAGTACAAAATAAGCTGCAAAACTATCGTTCTCTGGAGCATTTTCTCAGTCCGTTGAGATTTTGATTCTGGGAATGTCCACAAAACCTGTCTTAAATATACTCTTACAGGACTTTTCTATAGGCTGAACTTTCTTTTGTCAATACTTAGCTCAGAATGGCTTACACACTTCATCTTCCCTTTCTGTCTCTGACTCTCTCATGCACATTTGGTTACTTTTTCTTGTTCATTTGTCTCATGTCAATTTGCTTATTAGCCCAGCTGAAAAAAATTAGAGTAAAGAAATTTTGTTTCTCCCCCACAAGACCAAAATTGGACAGAGGTGTTACCTTACACATTTATCTTAAAGCATAAAACTGAAAACCTTCCAGTTTTCAGCCCTGGCCGGTTTGGCTCAGTGGTTAGAGCATCAGCCCATGAACCAGAGAGTCACAGGTTCAATTTCGGTCAAGGGCACGTACCTCTGTTGCAGTTTGGTGACCGGCCCTCGTCAGGGTCGTGTGGGAGGCAACCAATAGATGTCTCTCTCCCTCCCACCCCATTCTCCCCCCTCTCCCTCCCACTCTGTCTGAAGATAAGTGGAAAAATATTCTTGGGTGAAGATTTAAAAAAATATCAAAACCTTCCAGTTTTCAGAGAAATTGACTGTTTCAAACTGAACAGCCTCACAATTCTCCATAATTCTTTCATAACAAAGAATAAATCTCAAAAACATGTCCCTTCCACATTTCTAGCCTTTGACTTTTGTTTCCACAAATAAGAAGAAAATAAATGAAGAGGCCATTAAATGAGAAATTTGTAAAGATTTCACTCCTGCTGCATCCCTGGCTCTGCAATTAACACGAAACTCCAGAGTGGCTTAGTCGGTGCGGAACCAGGCAAGGGGTCAGCTTTGCAGACACGGCAACAAAGGCCTGCCCCACACAGTACGTTTGAAGAGAATAATTAACTTGTATTAAATGCCAATGTAAAAATACTGCTGGAGAATTTGCTCTTGTGAAACCAACTGTACCGTTTCCAATGACACTTCTCCTCTGATTCACACGTTAGGAGGACCAGGTTTCTCTGCAGAGAAATACAGGCTCGAGCTAAACTCTGACGAAGTCTTCCCTCGAGGTCGCGATGATCTGCTCTCTGACTCCAGGACCCCGGCCTGTGGTATTGACCAGGGACGTGGAAGTGCACAGTGTGCCCCTTGCCTCCTAACCCAGGTAATGGGTCAATGGGTCTCAAACTTACCGCATAATTCTTCTGTGTCAAGATTGCTGAAAAGATGAAAAAAAAAGGTATTACATTGGTAATATTTTTAGAGTTTGTAAATGGCTAAATACAGTTATGCCCCAATCTGTATTATGTTCATAGATGATATATGGTTATGATATTTCTCATATGAATTCTACGTTGCTTAAATAGTTCATCATAAGTCATTAATGATGATGGCGCCAGGTTCTACTTTGCACACGCCAGTCCCAGGTTCGGTTTCCCAGCATCGTCTGGGCGACCACAGGTGGAGGCTCTGAAGTCGGAGTGCCCGAGTTCAAACCCCAGCTCTGCCATTTACCACGGACATGACCGTGACTGCCCCATGTCTGTGTTCGGCTCCTCAGCCCCGAGGTGGAGATAATAACGTCTCCTTCATAGAAACGCCATAGGATGTAAATGGGTTAATACATGTAAAGCAGCTGAAGGAGTCGGTGCTAGAAGAAGGTTTATTAAATGTTAGTCCTTGTGATTCCTGACTTGGTAGGACTGCCAGGACTCCCTAAACTCGAATAAAGTATTTCTTAGAAGTGAAACAACCCGTGGGGAATACCCGCTCTACCGTAAGTGGGAGCTTAGGAGCTTATCTTGTTGTAAATATATGCATGTGTTAAAATGCCAGCACACACCAGTCCCATCCAGGGGACGCACCTGCTGGAGCAAAGGGCGGCCTCCAGGGGTAGGGACTTCTCCTGTGAGACGGGCATGAAGCTCCCGACAGCCTGGGGGGCAGCTGCCTGGAGCCACCGCGAAGGCCTCGGCCTGTGCCCAGAGCTCACACCGCTGACCCTACACTCCCCCTCTCAGCTCTGGGCCTGTCTTCTCTTCTCAAACTCCAGTCCCGTCTCTGCAACCACTGGCTTTCTACTGGGGAGCCTGCCACTGTTCACACCCACGCCACTCAGCCTCAGCAGACACAACCACCCGAGACCAGCGCCCACGCCCAGCCCCCTCACCCAAGCACCTATGGGGCCTGGGGCTCCGCCCACCAGCTGCTGGCTGCCGGACCACAACCGAGTACGCGACTGACACCTGAACGGTTCACCTGAGCACAGCCTCAGGGGTTCCCACCCCCAAGGCCAGGAACACGGACACCACTGTGAGCCCACAGCCGCAAGGGCTCATGCCCCGCGGACAGTCTTCTCTGATGACCGCGGGTACCTGTGACTCCGGACCGCCGTCAAGAATTCGAACAAGATGTCAAGTCAGTTTGCCCAAGGCTCCGACTTTGAAGATTTCTAGACACAAGTAATGTTAAAAATGCCGTCTTGAATGTTCTGTTAGGTAGAAAGTTGTGCATGGGCCAATATGATGGGTTATCTTCCAGAGATTCTTTATGGATGGTTTTCATATTTAGAAAAAGAGAAACCGTAATTTCTTCACACTTTAGGCCAGGACAGAGAGGTGTGCCTCCCCTTCTTGGAGGCCACGCTGTGATCCGGTCTCTCGGGCTCTGTGTCTTGACCACGTATCTGGGTTGAACCGGGTCCCACGGGGCCACCGTGGCCGCAGAGAGGCGGGGCCTGCGCACCTGCTCCCCCATCCAGGGTCAGGCGTTAGGTCGTCACTCACATTTCTAACTGAGAGTCCCTTGTGTATGAATTAGGGACAATCATAATTGCCATTTCTCAAAGGACTACTTGTGAAGACATAATACTACGTCATGCCTTTAGCTCAGTGCCCAACACGTCGTTAGTATCCCCTGAAGTGCAGCTGCCCCCAGGGACACGTGCACCATGCCGCCTCGGAGGGCAAAGGGCAGCATTTCTGTCGCTCGCCCACGCTGCCCCCAGCGAGGACGGGACGAGGCCGGCTGCGCCCAGGTGGGGATTCCGTTCGCACAGGCATAGTGAAGGCAGGAGACCCTGCTCCTCCGTCCGCCGCTGTCAGGGAAACGTCACATGCTTGATTCTTTGTCAGCAGCTCGAGTACGGAGGGAGAGGTGCCATCGCGTGTCCCCACCAGCCGCCCTGGTGACCTTGAGGGGCAGAAGCTCCTGTTTCCAGAGCTGCCCGAGGAGGAACCTACCTTGACCGACCCCTCAGATCAGGGATTGTCCTTGGGGTCTCATCCCCCCACCTCCCGGCTCTGGGCCTGAACACTCAGTTCTCTCTAATGACAGACACCAAATCAGTCACCAAACTCCCTTCTCGACCACAGGCTAAGAAAATATTAAGGATTTTCCGCTCGTGAACCTGCAAGTTATGGCTGCCTTAGAACAGAAAGAAAAGGAACAGAAGGAGGAAACAAAAAGATCCCTCCCTCCTTCCTCTGTTAGAAGGTCTCCCTGTTCCCTTCATTGACAAAAAGGGGACAGAGCAGTAATTACCACCCATTCAGCCACAGGGATGATTCTGGAAGGGCCCAGCTCAGTGTGTAAACATGACAAGCGTTCGCCTGTCTCATCTGCGACTTTCTAACACTTCCAATCATGTACCAAAGTCCAGAGCAACGTCATGAAACTCTTCAAGCACATCTCGTAAACATCACGTGTGATGCTCTGAGATCCAGAAAGACAAGCAGAGATCCACCTCCGTGGCAGCTGTCTCCGCACACGACTCAGTCACAGAAAATGTCCTGCATTGGAAAAGCCTCTGAGTGTGGTCGAAATGCTCTGATCACACACAGAGCCGGGTGGGCAGCCAGGGACTCTGTCATAATCAACGAGTTATCTTGTTTCTACTTTTTCTGCTAAACACTAACCCCTTGTCTGCCTCCAAGTCCCAGCTCTCAGCGCAGTATCTGGCACAGGGTAAGCACCTGGTAGCCCTGGCTGGGGGCTGGCGGTCCCGTCGGTGCCGGACAGGCAGACGCAGACACGGCAGACGTCAGAGCCAACTCCCATCCCTCCTTCTCTCCCTAACCCCCAGGCTCTTCTGCACTGCACTTCCCCAGAACTTCAAGGGGCTTTTGTGGTAGCCTTGTACAGGACATAAACTCTTTTCTGCTCCAGCAGGGTTGATATAAAATTATTCATAAAGGCTGGTGATTTATTTGATTTCAAGGTGAAGAGGGAAGTCTGGTCCTGAGTAGTGGTTCTTCGCTGTTTTGGCATAAAACGTAGAAAGTCTAATACAGTGTATCAACTACTCGCCCCTTTTCCGCCAAAATAAAAATATGCAATATTGAGAACATTTTATATTAAATTTCCAGGGATTTACATTTCCAAGTTAAGAAACCTGGTGCCAAAGACTTTAAGTAACAAATCAAGGAGAGAAAGCCCCTGAGTAGTTGGTGACTGAGAGGGGAGATTCCTCTCATAGGCCTAGAAATCGACATTATTTATTTTTTTACTCAAAGGAATAAAAGGAGGATAATAATCTTTCATACATTCAACAAAAGTAAATAAAAAAACACACCCTGATCTTTTCACTGGAATATGTTTCTCTGAATGTACCTTGTCTTAAAAACATCGTCCCTTTGAGTTGTCATCAACCAGCCAGGAAAAAAACCAAGTCGAAATGCCAAGAAATAATGAGAATAAAGAGCGAAACAAAATCTGAATGTACCTTGTCTTAAAAACATCGTCCCTTTGAGTTGTCATCAACCAGCCAGGAAAAAAACCAAGTCGAAATGCCAAGAAATAATGAGAATAAAGAGCGAAACAAAATCTGAAGAGCTCTTACAACCCAGTCTCATTTGAGTGAGCCTGGTGTGGATGAAATTGTTCAACAACAAGTTTGGAGCTGGATCAGAGAGAGCTAGACAACACGCTTAAGACAGGGACTCAGAGACATAGATATAATTCCATTATTTGTACTTACACTTTCAAAATAAAGGTCCAATGGTAATTCTCTCTGTTTGATTCGGCCACAGTGAGACATGTGACTCCCATTAACACATGACCCAGGAGTCTCTGGTGTTTTGAAACTATTTTTTAAAAAATTAGTCTCCTACTAATAACTTTCAGACAATTTAATTTTTGCTAGAAGATAGGTTGTTCAAACAGTAACATAAACATGTTAAATTGCATTTTACGACCCAGAATTAACTGTTGTGAAGATTCTGGGTTAAAGACCGGCCTAGAAATAGAAATTGTGATTGATAAGGCTCCTCACGTCTCCCAGCCTCATGTTCGTAGCAACACAGGAGTCAGGTCTCCCTGAGGTATCTGCAACACAGCTCCCTGTCCATCCATATGCCAGCTTCCCATAAATGCAAAGTAATCTTCATTCATTTATACATACCGCGTGACACATGGTATCCATCGTAAATGATTAATAAATACTTGTTGAATAAATGAATAAGTAGGAAATAAATGACTCATTTCTGGGAAGCTACAAACTCAACTGAAATAACGATTGTCGTTTGACATTCTGAATTTTCACTTGGAAACGACTCACAATTCAAAAAAAAAGGAAAGAAAGAAAGAAAAAAAAACTCTTTGTGCCAGTTTAACATCTACAGCTATTAACTTCAACCTGAGTGCAGTGGGGTTGGAAAGATGGGGGCGTTATTTATGCAAATTCTCAAAACCCCGTGTCCCCCCACAGGGCGACTTCTCACTGCCATTAGTTTTAGTCCGACATTGATTGCAATAGACGCCAGAGAAACTTACAGACGAAGTTAAACCACGACCCCGTGAGCGGGTCCAGGCGGCGCTCGCGGGGACAGGGCGCGTTCTGCCCGGGCAGCCGCGGCTGCGGGAAGCTCTGCTGGTGAGCGTTTTCCCCACTGACAGCCTTTCACGGTCAGAAAAGGGAACATAACGCCCCAGGTATGGAAGCTCCTTTTTCGGCATTAGAAACTCGTTTCTCATGTAAAGGTAGAACCATTAAATGTACGGGGACAAGGAGAAATCTTAATTTGGACTTTTTTGGAGTCTGTTAAGAGAAGGAACATGTCCATCTTTGCCTCCTAACATTACATTTCACGGCCTTTCCACAGGAGCAGGCAATGGTTTTAAAGGAGAAACAGCCTCCGAGACTTTCAGTTGAGAGTCAAAGCCAGATGTATCATTGAGTGTGTCTCCGGCGAGACGTCAACCCTTCGTTTTCATCGACAG